GAGTCAAGTTCTAGAGTGATACTTTAACCCTTTTTTGTTTTTTTTAATTTGATTTTTAAATTTATATACAATTGGAACTTATGTATACACCCTTGGATCTGACAGAAAAAAAATTCGTCCGTTATAGTGGGGTTTACATAATTATGGGAAGTAGACCTGTGCATGGACACGAATTTTGGTATCCGTAGCCGGATATATACGGCGGATACAGACGGATATCCGCAGGGTTATTGATATTATCTGTATCCATGTCCGTGTCCATGCACAGGTCTGATGGGAAGTATTGCTTAGATCCCCAACTCAATGGCCAAGCAATCTTATAAAAATGTCCACTAAACTGAGGATGTAGTACACGTTAATGAGGTTCGCATAAGTGAGGTCTAAATGTATTGTGTTAGGAAATGTGCTAGGTTGATTAAAAAATTTTTTTAATCTGTTGGAAAATTTTTAAAAATACGTATAGGTATATAGGGTATACGGCATTGTCTCTCACTTTAATTCTGATCAAAAAATTCTGAAATATAAATTTTTAATCAGAATTTTATTAAATTTTAAAAAATTCTGATTTACAATATAAACTAATTTTAAGAATAAAAAACGAAATTATAAAATATAAAAATAAATTTAAATTAAATAAACAAAAAATATTAGAGAATCTTTTTTAATTTTAAAATTTAAAATTTTAAAATTAAAAAAAAAATAGCGCAATATATTAATTTAAAATAAATAATTTTTAGGTAATGATCTGATCATTACCTCTTTATTATTGGCCTTTTATTTAATTAATTTAAGGTAACAAAAAAGGAAGAAAAAAGGCGGGGGAACACGCGCGCATTTAATTTATTTAAATATACTTTGAGACAAGAGATTAAATAGAAGCACGTGGTTATTAGTTGTTTCAAGGAAGAAATTTAAGGGAGAATGAAAGGGAATGTTGGGAAATCAGAAAAAAATTTGGCACATGTTCTCTAAACTTTTTTAAGGGAGAAAGAATAAGTTTGGGGGAGGGGGGATGTTAGGAAATTAAAGGAAAAAAAATTAATTATCACGAGAGCAGGTTTACCTATACTAGCGTCATTTGAAGGGACGTCTTTAGGACGTCTCTTTCTTCAAGAAAAAAATTTTTTCTTGATTTTTAAATTTAAATAATTAATTAAATATATGTATGCCTATTGTATTATATTATTAATTATATACCTAATTAATTAATCAAAAAAAATTTTTTGAAGTACGGAAAAAGGAATAGATGCCTAGTTATTGTATCATTAACTAGGTATACATATACCTAGTTAATTAATTTAAAAAAATTTGAGGACAGAAAAAGAATAAAGAAGAAATAATTTTAGATAGAGGGGTAAACTTTGGATTTTATATACCCATTAAAACAAAAATTATAATTAATTAATTAGTTTAAAAAAGGAAAAAAATGTAAAGAAAATTGAACTACAAAAGTAATTAATAAAAAAATTAAAATACCCAAAGTTTATTTTAATAACCTTAAAAAAGGAAACCTTTTTTAAGGTCTCTAAAAATGGTAAAAAAATTTATTTAAAGTTAATCTATGATTTTATAATAAAATTATGGAAGTAAAATTTTAATTAATTTAAATTTAATAAAATTTATTGGAGCAACCCAAAAATTAAAAAATAATTAAAGTATAATTGGAACTAGTTTATGTGTACATCCTTGGAGCTGAAATAATTCTTAGATTACCTACATATACATATTTGGATACAAAGGGGGAATTATCGTTTAGGGATGATTTTCTTCCGCTTCTGCCTTCCGCAGAATTACGCGCCTTTTTTGGTCCTTCTGCTTCCGCCTAACGTTTTTAAAAATTCAAAATTTATATCCCTAATGGGCAACTAATTTTTGAAAAATTTCACCAAGGAGGAAATACCTTAAAATTTTAAGGAGTGTAAATTATTCCACAAAAAAAATTTAAAAAATTTTTAGACACCAACGAACATTGACGAACATTAAAAACACTTTTTTTAAATAAATTTTTGGACTTTGTACTGAACAAAAAAGGGTAATCTCTAATAAATTTAAAATTTGATTAATTATCTAGTCTAAAAATTTTCCAAATTTATTCTTTTTATTAAAATTTTAAAAGTAAAAAGCCTCAAAAGAATTAAAACTGGTTTTTACAACAAAAAATGTTTCCTCTTTTTTATCAAGATTTAAATAAATTACATAATTAAAAATTAATTTATTTTAATTCTCAGAATTTTTGTATACCCTACCAGGGATCTAACCGACCCTATTCCCAAAAATCGGGAATTCCCGACGTTTTTTGGGTCAGGAATCCCGATTCTCGAAATCAGGAATTTAATTTTTTTGTCGGCTAGATCCCTGATACCTAACTATGGTAAAGACCGGACCGGGAGAGGATATTACAAGGATCGAGCTCAATATCCCAAAAGGATCAATCTCTATAGCCGAGATTGTTGTTAAAAATCCCGTCTCAGTCCTGTCTTTAATAGGGACACACTCCCTGATCAGAGGTCGATCGGTAATGATAAAAGTGCCAGAAATCGAAACTGTCGGAAATTGGAAATTGGAAATCAGCTCAACTTTCCTGAAATTGGAATTCCGTTCGACCTCTGCCCCCGATCTCTAATAAATATTATGTCTCCCGTTTTTATTAATTTTATTTTTATTATTTTTATTTATTAACTTCCCTGTCTGAATATGTATTAATTTTATTATTTTTATTTATTAACTTCCCTGTCTGTATTAATTCACTCATCAAATCAAAATTTTCTAAAGTGTGTTTACCTTTTTCCCAATAAAATTTTGAAGAGACAATATATCTGAATCATCAATATATTATTTTAAATATGAGTAATCTCACAAGGGGATAATCTCTCCTGTGCGACAATTGAAGAAGGAAGTAAAGAAGGAAAAAGCTTTTAAAAAACAAGTAAAGTAGGGGTAAGTATTGCGGGAAATAAATTGGATTATTTAAGAAAAGTATTGGAGGAAGGAAAAATTTTTAGGTATATTTAATTGTGTGTACTGTAAAAATTGAGGTATTTTAATGATTTAAAATGAAAAAAAAATTAAGAAATTTTTTATTCTTAAAAAATTAAAAATCAACGAAAAATTAAAAAAAATTTTTTTTTAATATTTAAGATTTTTTAAAAAATAAAAAAATATTTTTAATTAAGAAAAATAAAAAATTTCATATTTTTAAAAAATTATTAGCAGAAGTAAAATTAATTAATTTCAAAAAATTAATTTTAAAAAATCTTAGCCTTAAATAAAAATTAAATTTTATAAAAAAATAAATAAATTACTTAATATTAAGTTTTTTGTTAAAACTTGATAACGTCACACATCAAAATATTCTTTCAAGTTTTAATTAAAAACAAACTTGTTTTTATTTCCTTTTATTTTATTTCAACTTTTTTTAAAGTTTTAGAAATGATTAATTAATTAAATTATTAAAACTTTAATTTTAAAACTTGACTGAAAAAATAAACTTGAAATTAATTAAACTTGAAATTTAATTTAATTAAACTTGGTCAAGTTTGTTTTAATGTTTTGATTATAATTTAATAAACTTGGAAAAAAGTTTTTAATTAAAAAAAAAGTTTTATTTAATTTATTTCAAAAACAGGCGGGAAAACAGGCGGATTTTTATAAAAACTTGTTTATATTTTATTCTGATTATTAGAAAAAACAGGCGGATTTTTATGGTAAAACTTGTTTGTTTTACAAGTTTTAAAACATTGTTTAGGGGTTTCCCAACATTGTTTTAGGGAGAAAAACAGGCGTATTTTTAGAATAGAACATTGTTTTCATTTTATTCTGATTATCAAAACAGGCGGAATTTTCTATTTTATTTAAAAACATGAAAAGGTTGGAATAAAAACAAATGTTTTTGAAAATGTCAAACAGATATTGAATTTACCTATATTTATATTTTATTTGTTTATATTGTTTTTGTATTGTTTCTATTTATGGAAATATTTAGGTAATCTCCTTTTTTGTACGAAAATTTTATTTTTTTCTAAAATAAAAATTTTTAAATTTTATTAATAAAAAAAATATTTTTTTATTAAAAAATAAATAAAAATAAAATAAAAAGACATAAAAATTGTACAAAATATTTATTTAAAAAATATTTGGCTACAAAAATATTAAATTTTTTATATTTTATTTAAAATTTTATACATAGGTATTATTTTTACTGAGAATTTTTATTATTTATTTTTATAAGAGTAATCCCCTGAAATTATTAAATAAAAATTTTATTTAATAAAACTTTAAAAAAAGTTTTAATAAAATTTAAAAAAACAGGCGGGAAAACAGGCGGAATTTTATGATAAAACATTGTTTGTATTTTATTCGGATTATTAAAAAAACAGGCGGATTTTTCGGTTACGACTTTGTTTGTTTTACTTGTTTCAAGACGAATAAAACTTTGTTTGTTAAAAAAAACAGGTGGGAAAACAGGCGGTTTGGGTTTACCCAACTTTGTTTTAGGGATGAAAACAGGCGGATTTTCAGAATAAAACTTTTATTTGCATTTTATTCTGATTATATTCTAATATGTTTTTCTTCTTTTGTAATTAAATATCCTTCTCTATTTAAATATCCCCCCTCCTCTCAAGTTTTCCTTTAAAAGAAGATTTTCGCTTTGTTTTGTTCTTTTTCCTTCGCGCATTTTACTTAAAAACAAAACATACCGAAAAAAATCTTTTTTAACTTTTTTAGGTCAACAGGTATTGAAGAGATTAATTTATATGTAAATTATATTTTTTTTGATATTTACCCTTTTACAAGAAAAAAAAATTAATTTTTAATAAGAGGGGGGTTTACGGTGTGTGGAAGGAAAATAGAGGTAAGGTGTCTAAAACGAGAAGAAAATTTAATTAAATAAAAATCAGAAATTTAATTTTCTTTATAGAGAAGAAAATTTTTTGGGAAAAATATTTTTGAAAAAAATATTTTTTGGGAGAAATATTTTTAAAATATTCAAGAAAAAATTTTTAATCAACATTTTCTAAAAAATGTTGAGATTTTATATTAAATAAATCGTTTCTATATTGTTGTTGTTGATTAATTAAAGAATCATCGGTTGGTTGAACACAATCAGAATCAGCAGGTGCTTGTCTTCTATATTTTGCCCTTCTATTTTGAAACCAAGTCTTGACCTTTAAAAAATATTTTTTAAAATTATTCTCTATTATACTTAAATAATATAAACTCTTAGTTATTTAATAAAAATCAGAATATTTAATAGAAATCAGAATATTAATTTTGATTTATAAACTTAAGTTTCCGGAAAGTTATAATCTATTTGTTTCCGGAATTAAAACTTATTCTGATTGTGAGTTATATTTCCGGATAGATATTATATTTAATATTTTCCGGAAAAGTGTATTATGATATTGTTCCGGAATTCTGATTTATTTAAAAAAACCAGAATTATTTAAATAACGGAAGTATTAAATATCAGAATTATTAAATATCAGAATTGATAATAATCAGAATTAATAATTCTGATTTTTCAGAATATACTAATAACCTGTTATTTTAGAAATACAAAAATCAGAATTATTAATTCTGATTTATTTAAAAATACAGAATAATTATCAGAATAATTATCAGTATTTTAATTAAAAATTTAGAGTTATACTTCTGAATAATCAGAATTTATTAAATCAGAATTACTCTTGTAATCTAACTATAGTACTTGATATAATTAGAAATTTCAAAACTTTACTTGTCTTTCAGACAATTTTAAAGCTCTCGAAATTCTTTTCCTTTCCTGAGTGCTCAAATACATTTTAGCATCAAAAGTTCTTTCCAAAATATCCGTTTGTTCATTACTAAAGCGTATTTGGCCTCCCTTCCTTTTATGGTGTAAATTTAAATTTTGTTGTTTGTGGTTATTTTGATTAAAATGATTGTTGATTAAATGGCCAAAGAATGGGATAAAATGCCCACTTGATTTGTTTATGTTGGTTATAAATTGTGGAGGTAGTGCCAATTGTGGAAAGGGTTTTAAGCAATTATTTGGTAGTAAATGATTAGTTTGTTGTTGTTGGAAGGGTAGAAACCAGGCTGGAGCGAGTACTAATGATTAAAATTTAAATTTAAAATTATTCTAATTAAAAGGACAATTTAAGAGGGGCACCATGCATAAAAAAGATGAGCCTCTCAAATTACCGTATATTTTATTTTTATTTAATTGGGGGACTGATAGTTAGTAAAACACAAAGAAAATTTATATTGAGATGATTAACTCTTCAAAAAATTTCTAAAAATTTCAAAAAAAATTTAAAAAATTCTTTTAACCTACCATTATTCTCGTGCTTCTTTTGTTCGTTGATTGGTTGATTATGGGATACAGATTTATTAAAGCTAAGTAAATGTTCTAAATTATTAGTAGGCTGCTGTTCACTTTTAATTATGCTGCCAGTAACTTCTTCATTTTGTCCTCCTTTACGTTCTTAAAAAATTTTAAATAAAGGATTTGGGCTGAGGTATTCAAGACGATATCCGTCTCAGGGAATTAATCCAAGTCTCCTTAGAGTTTAAAGCCTTCCCTAATATCCTTCCATTCTAGGGTGCCTTCCTTAAAATCTGTCATCCTTCCTTCCTTAACCTCCTCAGAGGTGTGTCAAAACCAACTTTATAGTTTACTAATGAACTTCTCCAGAAGCAAAGCTAGAATCTTTCGCTTTTAGACAGGCTAATCTATTTATTAGAGAGGGGCGGCTATTAGAATATTTTCTTTACCCATTTAAAAATCCTTATTATTTACCTAAATTTGGTTGTTCTTCCACAATCATATCATCCTCCTTCAATATTTTCTCATTAATTATTTTTGGAAGAATCTGGCCCAAAACAGTCTGGCCAAAAATTGTAGGGGGAAGTAGTTGAGTAAATTCCTCAAAAAATTTATTTTTCTTTTTATTATTATCCTCTTCCAAGTAATTTTCGGAAGGTAATGATTTTGTAAGTAAATCGTCGATTAGAAAACGGGCTGACATGAATTGCTAAAATATTTATAATGAGTAAAAATTTAAGAAAAGATTTTATATTCTAGGGTGAAGAAGAGGGAATCTTGGTGGGGTAAGAAGGGGGAAGATACTTGAAGGGAAAATATTGATACCATAAATGTCCTAATAAGGACCCTTATTTTTCAGTTAGTCTTAAAATTCTTGAGGGGTGGGTTTTTAAGAGGTGTTCCTATTAGTAGAGAGCTCCTATTAGTTCCTATTAGTAGAGATGTCCAAGACTTATGGTCTTGAGTCTTGATTCCAAGACTTTTCTTGGGTTTTTTTCGGTCTTGGGTCTTGGCTTGGGGTCTAATCTTGGTCTTGGTCTTGGAGTATTGGCAAATTTTCGGTCTCGGACGTCTCTACCTATTAGGACATTTAAGGGAAATCTTCTAAATTTTAATGATCTAAAGGGGTATTTTTTTAAAAATAGAAGACTAAGACTAATTTAATTAAAGTAGAAAGCAATGCGCGAGAATTGCCACCTCTAATATATTTTTTAACTAAAATTGGATAGATGGCCCAACCTCTTTTTTTACTTTATTTTCTTTAAAATTCTCGAGGAGAGCCAATGAGGAGCTGAGTAAATAAATGAAAATTGAAAGAATAAAATTGAGAGGAGAATTGAGAGGAGAATAAGATTGAGGGCTGAACGAGAAGCGGCCAATTTATTTGTTTGGAGAGAGGATCAACAATTTATATTTCTATTGAATTAATTGTGAATAGAAAAGAAGAAGCATTCTTGACGGTCCGTGAAATTGAAACCTCCTCCATTCTTTTTTTAAATAAAATTTATTTTCAATTAGTGGGACATGAAAGAATCTTCTCTCGAATAATGCTAAATAGTATACGCATTAAGCAGCGACAAACAATGTACTAAATAAATCTTTTTTTTAAAACTTTGAGTAATTGCTAAATAAATTTACTATTTTATTTTGATAAAAGAAATACTGTAGGATTTTTAAGAAAAAAATTTTCCTGGCAAAAAAAATTTTTTCAGGCAAAAAAAAATTTTTTCAAGCAAAAAAAATTTTTTTAGCAGACTTGGTGGTGATTTTTTAAAAAATATTTTTTGTGATTAAATTCTAGACTTATCATATTTATTAAAAAATAATTTTTTTGAATTTTTCTAGATAATTTCTAAATTTTTTTATTTAATAATTAGATACCCTCTTTATTTAAAAAAATATTTTTCCAAAATTTTTTTTAATATACTTCATCAATATGTATATTTATTTCAAGATATATTTTAATATTATATAACAATGCCAAACCCTTTCTTTCCAAATCTCATTTTCAGATTAAAAATAAAAACCATGCAATAATGCCAAAAATGAAGCAGCAAAAGATGTCATGGAAGGCCAATTATTCAAAAACTATTTATTTACTTAATATATATTTTTATTTGTTTTTAAAAAACTTGATTTAATATTTTATAATGATTGACTAAAACAAACAAATATTTTTATGTTTTATATAAACTCAACAAACATTTATTATGCAATGTTTTTCCCTTCAAAACATATAAGACTTAATAAAATGTTTGGATGATGGAGGATATGAACTTGATGAACATTTAAACTTGTTTGTCAAGTAATGAAACAAGTTTATTTATTGAGCACGTTTGTTTAAACAAAAACATGTTTTTAAGCAAAAACATGTTTATTTTAATCAAAACAAGTTTATTTTAATTAAAACAAGTTTATTTAATCAAAACAAGTTTATTTAAACATAAACAAGTCTATTTGAACAAAAACAAGTTTAATTAATCAGAACAAGTTTACCAAGTTCGTTTCAAAAACATGAACGTCTATTTTTAATAAAACAAGTTTATTTAATTATTATTTAAACTAAAACAAGTTTCTTTCAAAACAAAACATTTTCAAAACATGTTTTAATAAATAATTCAAACATAGTATATTTATTTATAATAATCCCTTATAATCTTAGAACGGGAAAGGTAAACAATTAAATTATTATTTTCAAAATTTTCTTCCCTTCCGTGATGATTTTATAAATTAAAAGAGTGGCTAACAAATAAGATTAAGAGGATATAAATTGTTGAACTCTCTTATATTTGTAATTGGCTTAAAGAGGAGGTAGTGTAGTGGTTGGTTATCCAACTGAGATATATATTTTTTATTCTTTCCTCTGTTACACTTTTAAAGTATTATAAATGATGGACAGCTTTTAGTAGTAAATAAATATTTATTATATTAGAACCCTCAATACAAAAGAATATTTATTATGCGCAGTCGAAGAAATTCTCTTGAATGAATTGAGAACTAAACAAGAACAAAAGAAAAAAATATTTTAAAAGAAACATTTATTTTTAAAAAACTTAAATATATCACATTTCTTTTGTTTAAATGTGTTTATTCATTTTAAAGCAAAATTTGTATTTATTGTTATTGACAAATTAGAGATAAATCAGAATTAAATTTGTTTGTTTTGTTTTTAAGGGAAAATCAGAATTTAAATAAAACAAGTGTTAAATAAACAATATGTTTTGTTTTAATTCTGTTCTGTTCTGATTTGTGATTGTTTTATTTGTTGTCTTTTATTCTGGTTTTAATGATTTAATATGTTTTGTTTAAACATGTTTTGTAGGAATACAAACTTTGTTTTTCTGATTTGTTTTGTTCGTATCTATTTTGTATGTTTGTGTTCTGATTTATGTTAGGTTTGTTTGTTGTTTTGTTATTCTGGTTTTAATGTCAACATGTTTTGTTTAGATTTAATTCTGAATTTTTAATAATTTGTTTTGTTTGTATTAATTTTTTGGGCAATGTGTTTTGAAAGTTCTAATTTAATTCTGGTTTTGTTTAAATTTAATTCTGAAATTGTTTTTAGTAATGTTTTTAATTTCCGATTTTAAATGTTTTACATGTTGTATTGTTATTCTGATTTTTACGTTTAAACATTTTCCTGTTCAAATTTAATTCTGATGCTGTTTTAGTACTATTTTTAATTAGTATTTCCAAATATAAACATCATTGTTGTTATTTTTTATTTCTGATGGCGTGATTATGGAATGATATTTGGGGGAATATACCTTCTCCCATTAATTGTCAAAAATAATTTTCGTCAGATAAGGGAAAGGAAAAAATATTTTTTAATTATAAAGATGGGTAAATTGCCCTTTGTTTTCTTTCTTTTATGTCTGGTTTTTATTTTTTCCTTGGTGGTTTAATTAATTTATTTATTTACCTATTTATTTAAAAAAACTTTTATTTTAAGAAATTTTAAAAACAAGTTTTTTTAATAAATAAAAATACATAATAATTTAATTTGTATAGAAAAATACTCGAAATTTTGTTGGAATCGAACCTGAGCTCTCCTGATTCCGTTCATCATTCTAGGTGCTCTAAGGAGGGTTCAGAGGTAAAGCCAGCTGGATCTTTCATTCCTTCCTTACAAGATTCTTTCCTTAAACGGATCTCCCTTATTTACAGAATAATGATTAAAATTGACTTGTTTGGACTGATCTTGAATTTAATATTTATCCCCATGTGTTCTAAGCACTTTTATCTAATTTTAAGGCAATCTCCTCCCTAATATAATTAAAAATATAACCCCATCTGATAAGAAAATTAAAGCAATTTTTATATTTATAATTTTTTATTTCCCCGATTTTTCTGTCCCAAAGCATATTACACAAACACAATCGACAACCATTATATGTATTACTTCAACTTACCGCACAAAGTCCATTATTTCTTTAGTTTAATAATTAATTTTCTATTTTTAAATTTGTAACAAAAATGGAAATGTTTAAATTTACTTAAAATTTGAATTAAAAATATTTGAAAAATATAAAATCCCCTTAAACTCTATTTTTCAATACTGTTTTCGTTTCTTGACTTATCTCAACGATGAGTTCCTTATTTACTAATCTTCTAATTTTAACCCCATGTTGTCGGGTACGGAACCAAAGAACCAATGATTTCGTAAAGCAGCTGGGCTATAGCTATTTTTCGGCGGCTGGGAGCAACCAGCATCTTCAGTAGACCGGACTGATGATTACACCACGCCGCCTACTACCGCGTAGCCTTAGGAATTAAATAGCCATATGCTTTACAATTTTTCGGCTCAGTTCTTTAGGTCAGTTCCGGAGATCCAATGATTCCCCAAGAAACTCAATTTCCTACAAGTCCGGTCTCCACCTTGTATTTTAAATTCTTATCAGTAAACACATTCTTCAATTATACCACATGGTGAAAGAGGGTTTTTTTATTAATATTTGTTGATTACTTTTTATTTAATTTTCTTTTCTAAAATAATCTCTTAAGGGAAACGCGTGACAATTCAAATAAATTAAAGATTTTTTAATAATAAAGAGGAAAAATATTTTTTTAATATAAATTAAATTTCAATTTAAATATGGATAGGCAACACCAAGCTATAGAATTGCCGGTATTTTTTCTGAAAATTTTTTTTGCAAATTATTTTTAATTAGAATTCCCCTGGAACGTTTAAAAGTGGCCTCTTGAAGGATAAACCTGAAGAAGTTTTGGAATATTTTTTCCCGGAAGTAACAACTCTATGGCAAGCTTTTCAGCGTGGATTGAAAGTATAAAAATAAAATTTAATTAAAAAATAAAAATTCTCTCTCTAGCTTGCCACAGAAGGGCCCTGTCTCGGTATCCGAACAAAAGAAGGCCCCTACAAATTTATCAGTTATCAACAAGTTGCTAATCTCTCAAAGGATGTCGGTTCAAAATTAATAAGCCTATTGGGGCTTAAGCCTGGTCAACAAACTTTTGTTGCTATTTACGCTCAAAATTGTCCAGAATGGACTATTTTGGTTTGAAAAAAAAATTTTCTTAAAAATTAAAAAAAAATATTTTAAAATTAAAGACATTAGCTTTAATTCGACATTCAATGATTGTTGTCCCTCTATATGACACATTAGGAGAAAATGCAGCTTCTTATATTTTAGCCCATTGTGAAACAGAGTAATTTAAGTTAATTTAAAATTAAATTTTAAAATTTTTTTTAAGATTAGTAATGCTAGATTCTTTAAAAAAATTACAAAATGTATTTAATATGAGAGAGAAAACACCCTCATTAAAAAATATTTTATATGTTGGGGAATTGGAAAAAGATAAAATTGAGGAAATACAAAAAAAGGCTAAAGAATTAAATATTTGTTTGTATTTTTGGAATGATTTGATTAATAAAACTGAAGATGAAGAGAAAATAGAAAAAGAAGAAGAAGATAATGAGCCTAAACCAGAAGATAATTATATTATTTGGTTATTTTTAATTAAATAAACTTTTTCCGGAATTAGAAAAACTTAAGTTTCCGGTAAGGAAACTCAAGTTCCGGAAAAGTTTAAATAAACCTTTTCCGGAAAAGGAAAACTTAAGTTTCCGGAAAGGTTAAAAACTTAAGTTTCCGGAAAGGTTAAAAACTTAAGTTTCCGGAAAGGTTAAAAACTTAAGTTTCCGGAAAGGTTAAAAACTTAAGTTTCCGGAAAGGTTAAAAACTTAAGTTTCCGGAAAGGTTAAAAACTTAAGTTTCCGGAAAGGTTAAAAACTTAAGTTTCCGGAAAGGTTAAAAACTTAAGTTTCCGGAAAGGTTAAAAACTTAAGTTTCCGGAAAGGTTAAAAACTTAAGTTTCCGGAGAATAAACTTTTTCCGGAAAAAGAAAACTTAAGTTTCCGGATTTTTCTTTATTTTACCTTAGACTTAAATTTAAAGTAAACTACTTAAGTTTCCGAAAAGTTAATTTTATATATTTTCCGGAACTAAGCATTATTAATTCTAATTATTTATAGTTATACTAGTGGAACAACCGGAACACCTAAAGGTGTAATTCTGAGTCATCGTAATGTTGTTGCAAACATTTCTGCTTTAGCTGTAGTTTTAGAAAAGTTTTTACCAGAATTTTTGTCGACAACAGAACATTGCATTATTTCATGTATTTTTTTCAGAATTAAAAAATTCTGATATAAATTCTGGTTTAATTTTTAAATTTCAAGATTTGCCTTTATCACACATGTTCGAACAATGTGCCCACTGGATAGCCCTCTGCCTTGGATATCGAATCGGTTATGTCTCTGATGGTATCGCTACACTTTCTGCGGATATGCAAGCCTTGGAACCAACTCTATTACCTGTAGTACCTCGATTGTTAAACCGTTTTAATGACGCAATAAAGGTAAATAAATTAATTGAACCTCCCGGAAAATTGTTAATTCTGATTTATAAATAAATATTTTCCGGAAATGATTAATTCTGAATTACATTTTCCTGAAAGTTATATTTTACTTTAAGTTCCGGAAAGTTGTTAGTTTTATGTTTCCGAAATTTTATTAATTCTGATTTAGATAAATATACTTAAGTTTCCGGAAAGTCGTATTCTAATTTAATATTAATTCCGGAATGCTATTAATAAAACTTTCTTACGTAAAGTTAATTTTTATTTGCAGACTTAAGTTTCCGGAAAATTATAATTATGATCTATATTTTCCGGAAAGTCGTATTCTAATTTAATATTTATTCCGGAAGGCTATTAATTCTGATTTATATTTTCCTAATAGATATATTCTATTTTAATATTTTGCTTCCGGAAAGTTTTATTATAATTTTACAAATGTTCAGGCAGAAGTTACTCGTTTAAATCCATTTTCTCGTTGGTTGTTCTCCATTGGGCGGGCTCAGAAGAAGGCAATGCTTCAAAAAGGTATAGTAACAAATGAATCAATTTGGGACCGTCTTGTATTTGCCAGAGCACGTCAAAGACTTGGAAATCATGTAAAATTAATTGGTAAATTTATTTTTGTAAAGCAAAAACATTTTTAATTTTGAAGTTACTGGTTCCGCCCCTATAGCCGCTGAGGTATTGGAAGAATTGAGAATAGTTTTTGGTTGCCATATAATTGAGGGATATGGACAGACTGGTAAATTAGCTTATTAAATTTTATTTTTGATTAAAAAATATTTTTTCTAGAATGCACAGCAATGGCTATATCCACTTGGCCTGGAGAAACTGTTGGCGGGCAATGTGGAGGTCCGTCAACTTGCTCACTTATAAAATTGGAAGATGTCCCCGATTTGAATTATTTTGTTGTTAGTTTAATAAAAAATTTTTTTTTAAATAATTTTTTTAATTTTAAAGAAGGACAGAAAAGGAGAAGTGTTAATTAAAGGACCGTCAGTCACCAGTGGATATTTTAAGGATCCTGAACGCACAAGAGAATTATTTACTGAAGATGGGTTTTTAAGAACTGGGGATGTTGGTCAAATACTTCCAAATGGTCAAATAAAAATTATTGACAGAAGAAAACACATTTTTAAATTGGCACAAGGGGAATATGTGGCGCCTGAGAAAATTGAAAATGTTTATATACAATGCAGGTAAATAATTTTTGGAATAAACATTAAATCAAAATCAGAGTTTGAAACAAACATGTGTTTAAATAAAATCAGAATTTGAAACAAACATTTAAATAAACATATATTTGAAATGAACTTCTAATCAAAATCAGAATTTAAAATGAACATTTATCTAAATAAACTTCAGAATTAAAAATAAACATTTAGTGAAATCAGAATTTAAAATAAACATTCAATTAGAATCAGAATTTAATATAAACATGTAATTTAAAATGAACATTTTATTTAAAATCAGAATTTGAAATGAACATTACGTTAAAATAAACAATTAAAATCAGAATTTAAAATAAACGTTTAAAAAACATTTTATTTAAGATCAGAATTTAAAATAAACATTTTTAGGTCAGTACATCAAATCTTTGTTGATGGTGATAGTCTTCAACGTTTTCTTGTGGTAAAAACATTTCTGATTTTTACATTATTCTGATTTTACTAAAACAAACTTAAAAACATTGTAAAACTTTGTTTCGATCTAATTTAATTAAAAAAAAGGCAATTGTTGTCCCAGCAGCTGGTCAAATCAGACGCTTATTTACCCAAATAGATGGAGGAGTAAAGGAAGAAGAAATAAAATTAGAAGAGATTTGTTCAGATAAAAGAATAATTAATTTAGTTTTGGCAGAAATGCAACAAATTGGGAAAGAACAAAAATTGAATAGTTTAGAACAAGTTAAAGCTATTTATTTAGAACATGAACCTTTTAGTATAGAAAATGATTTGTTAACACCTACATTAAAGGTAAAATTTTTTTAAATATTTTTGAGTTAAATTAAAAAAAATTTTTAAGGCAAAAAGGCCACAACTTAGGGCAAAATACAAACAAAAAATTGCTCAACTTTATAGTGAAATGCCCAATGAGAAATAAAATTTTTTTAAAAATTTATCGCTAATATTAATTAAAATTAATTTTTTCAATTAATATCATTATTATACTAATTTTTGTTTTAATTTTTTTATTAAAATTTAATTAATTTACTACAGAAAAATATTAGTTTCTGATTTATAGTATGTATTTAAATCAGAATTATTATTTAGATTATTAATTCTGATTTGTTTCAATATAAATCAGAATTATTTTTGAACATGTTTAAAACTTCTGATTTTTAATTGTTACTATTTTAATGTTTTTCTGGTATCAGAATTAATTTTGAACCAGAATTATTATCAAACACTAATTGAACATTCCGGAATTTTATTAATTCTGATTGTTTCTATATAAATCAGAATTATTTTTGAACATGTTTAAAACTTCTGTTTTTAATTGACACAGTTTTTAAGTTTTTCTGCTACCAGAATTAATTTTGAACCAGAATTACATTAAAACATAAAAAATCAGAATTATTGTTTATTATTTATTCTGATTTGTATATTTAAAACATTTATATTAAACTTTTCTTTTCCTAAACAAACTTTGCAAAAAAAAGTTTTTTAAAAAAGGAAATACAATCCTCCAAACAGAAAAACATTTAACAAAACTTCCGACAAAGTTTATTTTGCAAAGACAGTTGTTCCTTTTAAATAAAGGTGGTGGCATTTAACGACCCTTCTTCTATTTCAAATTTGGCCATTTGTCAACAGATGGACAGGATTAACAAGTCAAAATAAAAGGAATTTAAAGGAGGGTCTAAATTTGAAGTTTTCTTCAATTCTTTTATTTTTTGCATGTAAAATCAGTTTGCTAAATTTTCTCAACTAATCTTCGATCATCCAACCAATCTTTCACTTGTCAATCATAACCATCAATAAATGAACAAGATTATAAAAAGAAAGGGAACGCTCGAACCGCTAGATCATCAAAATATATGTTTTGATGTGGTTATTTATAAAAGTTCAAAGAATTGTTTTGTTGGAATTGTTGTTTGTTTTTGAAGTTTGTTTCTGTTATTAAACATTCTTTTTGAATGTTTTAAGTTTATTCTGGTTTTGCTGGTTTTGTTTAGATTTAATTCTGAAATTGTTTTTAGCAATGTTTGTGGCGTTAATAAAACAGAAACAAAATTCTGGTGTTGTTTAAATTTAATTCTGGTTTTGTTTAAATTTAATTCTGAAGTTAAAACAGAATTTAACAACAAAGTTTGTTTTTCTGATTTGTTTTGTTTGTATTTATTACTTTTTGCATGTTTGTGTTCAGATTTATACTTGTTTTGTTGTTTGTATTGTTATTCTAGTTTTTGCATGTTTTGTTTAAACTTAATTCTGATTTTGTTTAGATTTAATTCTGAAATTGTTTTTAGCAATGTTTTTAGCAACAAAAACAAAATTCTGGTTTTGTTTAAATTTAATTCTGAAGTTAAAACAGAATTGAATAGCAAAGTTTGTTTTTCTGATTTGTTTTGTTTGTATATATTTCTTGCATGTTTGTGTTCTGATTTATAATTTTGTTTGTTTGTATTGTGATTCTGGTTTATAATGTTTAGCCTGTTTTGTTTAAATTTAATTCTGATTTGTTTAAATTTAATTCTGAAATTGTTTTTAGTAATGTTTTTAATAATTATTTTGATTCTAATCAAACTATTTTCTCACCTTTCTGCAAGTGATGATGAAGAGCGTTTAATGATGGATGTTTTTCGAGGATATAATTCCTTAATTTTGCCAATGCGTAATGATAGCCAGCCAATAATTGTTAAAATGACTTTACAAGTAAATTATCATTTTATTTATTTTTATTTAACTTTTTGTAGCTAATTCTTTTAATTAACGTGGACGAGAAGGATCAGGTCAAGAAAAGGATGAGGCCAGAAAATATTAAAAATAATTTTAGATAATGCATACAAATGTTTGGCTAACTTTAAAATGGAAGGATTACCAAATGAAGTGGAGTCCAGTAAATTATGGCGGTATAAAGGATATACGTGTCCCTCCCGACAAAGTATGGTTGCCCGACATTGTTAGAAGAAAATTGTTTTTAAATAAAAATAAATTTTTTAATAGGTGCTGTTTAACAAGTTTAGATGTTTATTAACCAGATTTATGTAAAAATTAAAATTCTAGCGCTGATGGAAATTATGAAGTATCATTTATGTCGAATGTTGTTATAGATTATAGGGGGGATGTTCTCTGGGTTTGTTTTGAATGTTTTGTTTATTTAGATGTTTTTAGGTACCCCCAGCAATTTATAAAAGTTCGTGTATTATTGGTTTGTTTTGTATGTTTTAAATGGTAATGTTTTAAAAGTTTATAGATGTTGAATACTTTCCTTTTGATGAACAAGGTAATATAAACAAAAATACAAAACATTAAAACACAAACAAAAAAATCAGAATATAGGTAAAAACAAAAAATTTAACAAAACATCAAACAAACATTGAAGTAAAATCAGAACAAAAATAGAACAAACATGAAAATCAGAATAAACATCAATTAAAAATAAAACAAGTTTTAAATCAAATCAGAACAAGTTTAAAACAAACATCAAATAAAAATGTTTTTTAAAAACACTAAACAAAGAAAATCAGAATAAACTTATAACAAAACATCAAAACACAAACAAAACATCAGAACACAAACAAAGCATTTAAAAACAAATTTTAGACAGAATCAGAACAAACATAAAACAAAACATCAATTAAAAATAACAATGTTTTAAACAAAACATAAAATTTAATCTAAACAAGCTTAACAAAAAACATCAAGTTTTTTGTTAAGTTTGTCATTTAATATTTGGTTCGTGGACGTATAACGAGAATGAAATTAAAATGGAATTTGAACAGGCTGAATTAATGGACTTGAGTGAATACGCCAAAAGTGTCAGTTCAATTTGGGATGTTATTGGTTTAATTTTTTGCTTTTTATTGGAAAAATAATTTTTTGTTTGGAACAGATGCCCCAGCATCATTAGTCAATAGCCGGTAAAATATTTAAAATTCTTCGAAAAATATTTTTAATTATTTTTTCTTCAGTTCTCGCATTAAATTCCAGCTTAGAATCCGTCGAAAAACTTTGTTTTACACCGTTGTTTTAATAATACCAACAGTATTAATGGCTTTTCTATCCATGGCTGTTTTCCTTTTGCCAACAGATTCTGGTGAAAAAATGACTTTAACAATTTCTGGTTCTAAAAAATATTTTTTATTCCAAACTTCTCTTTTAAGTTTTGTTATCTATCGTTGTATTTCTTTTGTTGGTTTCTAAAATTATGCCTCCAACTTCATCTACCATTCCTCTTGTTGCTAAGTATTTGTTGCTGACTTTTACATTAAACATCACAACAATAACAGTAATATACTTTTGATGTTTTTTGATGTTTTGTTTAGAGTTTTTGTTTTCATTTTATTCTGATTTCGATGTTTTGTTCTAATTTTATTCTGCTTTGATGTTTTGTTTTAATTCTGGTTTGGTTGATGTTTGTTTTAAATTATTTCTGATTTTAATGTTTGTTCTAATTTTATTCTGACTTTGATGTTTTGTTTTAATTCTGGTTTTGATTGATATTTGTTTTAAATTAATTCTGATTCTGATGTTTGTTTTTATTTTATTCTGATTTTAATGTTTGTTTTAATTCTGGTTTTAATTGATGTTTGTTTTAAATTAATTCTGATTTTTATTTTGTTGTTTATGTCAGTGCTTTTCGTTGTTTTAATTATATTCTGATTTTGATGTTTGTATTAACTATGTTTTAATCATAGTTTGTTTTAATTTAATTCTGATTTTTGTTTTGATGTTGATTTCGATGCCTTTTCGTGTGTTTTTATCGTATGTTGTGTTGATTTGTTTGATTTCAAGTTTACATTGTTTCGTTGATGTTTGTTTTAATTTGTACTGTTTTATTGTTTGTTTCTATTGTGTTTTGTTTTATATAAAATATAACTTTGTTTATATTTAAGGTTACTGTTATAATTATTAACGTCTATCATCGTGGGCCAACAACCCACAGAATGCCTGACTGGGCTCGGCATGTATTTTTAGTGGTATTAATTTTTATTTTCAAAATATTTGCCTTTCTAAAAAGTTAATGCCTCGTCTACTGTGCATGAAACGCCCAAAAGCAACAATTAATAATTTAACAAAGAGAATAAGCAGCAAAAGTATAACAACCATTCCCGGTATTGGAAAATTTGATGAAACAATTTCTCAAAAAATACATCACCAAAACTGTCCCGAAGGGAGAATTAAAGGAGCAATACACGAACCAGAAGAGACTGGGGACCCAATAATTAAAAATGGATTTCCGTTGAGTTTAGAAGCTGTAAGAAGCCGAAGCCTATTTTTACTCAAAAAAATTTATTTTTTAAGGCTAAAGCTGTGGAGGCTGTTGAATACATTACTGAACATTTACGAAGAGAAGAGGACCATAAAATTGTAATTTGGGGTCTTTAAAAATTTTTTTGATAATTTTAATAGCATCGAGATGATTGGAGATTTGTAGCGATGGTAATTGATCGTTTCCTCCTTTATATTTTCTTTGGAGTTACTTTGGGTGGAACTATAGGGGTTTTATTTTCTGCACCAACAGTTTTTGAATCGGTTTGAATAAATTTTTTTTTTAATTTAGAAAAAATAGTTTAGGTAGACCAACAAGCTATTCTTCAGAGATTAATACACGCTTATGAAAGTGGAAGACAACTTTAATTGAAGGAAGTGAAAATTTTTTTTAGAAAACCCATTTGAACAAAGTTGGAATTCATTTCTAAATCATTTATTTTAGTCAAACAAATTTTTTAAAAATATTTTAATCATTTTTTAATACACTAATCCCCCTGGTTTTGTTCAAAATGGGATTTTAAATTTTTCTAGGTTTTTCGAAAAAAATGCCCCAAAGCTTTATTTAAAAAATAAATTAGGTAGACTTTTAGAAAATTTAAAAAGAAAAGGAGAAATAAAAATATTTAAAACCTTCACAAATCCTTTCAATTCATTCAACATTTCCATTAATAAACTAGCCATAGAAACACGCGGATCAGCCCTTCTTCTCTGAACAGATTTTTGTGGCCCAACCAAATAATCGGCATCATCTAATGTTCCTCTTCTTTTTCCTGTTGAAAAGGGGCCTCCTCCTCCAGTTGAAGAAGCTGAGGAAATTGCAGAAAGAGGGCCAATTGAAGTAACAGCAGAAGAATTTGGAGGAATAGAAGGGACGTTAATTGTAAGTGGATCCATTTTCATCCAAACGATTGAAAGTAACATTCGGAATTAAATTTTGCTGATATTTGGCAAATACCAAAAAAGTTAAGAAAATCCCAAGGATAAATTTTAAATTAAAAAACCTCGATCAACAAACCTAATCGAATATCTTCATTTAAAGGTATAAAATTCGAAGTTGACGGAATTGAAGCTAACAATTCTTGTTTAGAAATCCCTAGAGGGATAGCTCTAGTAAGTGATGATGAAGATGAAAGTCTTGCAGCTTTCTTTCCAAATTTTTTAGAAACAATTCCCCCTCCTCCACTTTCCAATATTTTACGAGGAATGTGAAGTCTTTTAAAACAATTTTAGAAAATTTTAAAAAATTTCAAAAAAAACCTCAAAGCATTTTTTCTTTCCTTTTCTGCATGTTTATACAATTTTTTGGATATTTTTAATCGCGTTCCATCAACTTCAATTAATTCCCCAGATGGAAGACTACAACCTTCTTCATCTAGAATGTCGCTTATACGAGAAACTGGAGGCTAAAAAAATAAAAGAAATTTTTAAAATATTTAATTCGACTCCTAGACCAAACCCAACAAAACGGGGAACCCAATCGCAGGGCGCGCAATCTTCCAATAAAAAGATTGGATGGAGGAAAACCCACAAATGGGAGGAAAAGTTGGAGAAGAGAACCAGGGTCATATTTCCTTGTGGTTTTGTAAATATTATTTGACTAAGGTTCCCATGATTTTATAATAACAAGACTATAACCCGAACCAAGTATTCACAAAATCTTCAAAATTTTCAAAAAAATTAAAAAAACCTGACAAATTTCCCCAACAGTTTTTGAAGCCAATTTTTCCTCCTTTCCATATAAAGGACAATTTCTATTAGTTTTCCACCAGAGGAGGTTTTTTACGTCTAACAATATTTGTTGTTGATGTATTCTTTTTTTCCTAGAAAAAATTTATAATTGGATCCCAAAAGCCCAAAGCTTCGGGGATCGTAGCGACAGGGTTCCTGGTATCTAATATGTCAGACATCATAGCGAGAGACCAAGCTATATTTTAACACTTAAAAATAAATACATGCAAACCTCTTTATATTTTTCATCCACTTGCTTCAATAAAACTTTCATCCCTTGTTGAACGAATTCGACCATAAGCTTCAATTAATTGTGGGTGGATTACATTTTCAACACGTGTCTGAAAATAGTTTTTTGTTTAAAAAATAATTTTTGGGTAGAATATGGAAAAAGTCCTTTTCTAAAATCCGCAAATATTTTCCGCAAATTTATTACAAAAATTTATTAAAAAAAGGCTTCCTACCCAAAAATTAGTCCCCTAATCCGAAAAATATTTTTACTCCCCAAATAATAAAAAATAAACTAATCGATTCAGTTCCATCCGTATTCTCAATTGTTCTGTAAATTTTCAATTTTTTTCACCAGACAAAAATGATGTCCCTTCTTCTCCGCCATTGGACTGCGATGAAAAGGAAGAATTGGCAGCAATTTTTAATCTAAAGTTGTCCAACGGAACTAAAAATGAAAGAATAATAGAAAATTAAAGAAGGAAAAATACCAAAGAAGAAATTGTTGAAGAGCAGAAAGGATGAAAAGGAAGAATTTATTGAAGAATCTGAAAAGTCCGCAACTTTGGAATTTTGAATTTGCAGATTTACCTAAGTTTGTTTTTTAAAATATTTTCATGAAATTTTTTTGTTTTTACGGGGGTCTAGGTATTCTAAAGATTAGATTAAAGATTTAACTGAATCTTTGAAGCTATTTTCCCTAGCTATTTTCGCTCAAAATTTTAAAATAAATTTGCGGACAAAATTTGCGGACCTTGAAAAAAACTTTTTTTTTTCATATTCTAACAGAAAAAAATTATGAAAAAAACTTGCTGGACTCGGGAAAGGAAAGGTTTTTTAATCTTGATTTTTTTATATTTATTTTTTTGGAAGATGGTCATTCCATTTGGTGACCGAATCTTCATTTATAGGTTTTTTTAATTTTTAAAAAAATAGATAGGTCTTGAAAACCATCACTTTTCAAGTATCGTGAGGAGTCCCAAATTCAAAAAATTTTTTTCCTTAAAGTATCTAGTCAAACAAATTATGAGAAATTTTGTTTAATTAAAAAATATTAAATTTGAAATAATTTAAAAAAAGGCAGTCTAAATTTTTGAAAATATTTTTTCTCCACTCCTATTCTTCACCAACATTATTGTTCTGGCCTCCTCCACCAGCTCCTCCGCCAACATTATTAACGTGGGCTGCAGCGACATGTCCACCAGCTCCTCCGCCAACATTATTATCAACTAAAATTTAATAACATTAATCTTTAGTTATTTTAGTAGATTTAGGTCTAGAATTCAAAAAAGAACTATTTCCCAACCCCAGACGATTTTTAAACTTTTAACGGAAATAAGAACTAACCATTTGGCGGTCCGACAGGTTCAACGCCAACATTATTAACATGGGCTACTCCACCAGCTCCTGCAGCAACATTATTAAGCTGGGCAACAGCGACAGGTCCACCAGCTCCTCCGCCAAGATTATCAACTAAAATTTAAAAACATTAGTTTAATCTGTAGTTATTTTAGTGGATTTAGGTCTAGAATACGAAAAAGAACTATGTCCCAACCCCAGAGATGTTGAACCTTTGTTGGAAATAAAAACTAACCATTTTGCGGTTCAAGTCTTGCCTCAATTGTCGCTAAGCGTGCCTCAATATTACGTAGTTCATCTTCATTCGTGCGTACCATAAACAGTGATACATCAGATTGAAGAGATGTCAGGGTCAGCGTTTGCTGCATTTGTCCCATTTCACGTTCAAGAGCATCAAAACGACCATTCATCCGTCGCATTTGACCAATCATAAGCCGCATTCCTCTTTTAATAAAATCAAATTGACGATTATTTTCGTCCCGCATCTGTCGCATTTCTTTTTCAATAAAATCAAAGCGGCTATTTAATCGGATGAACATTGCCTTCTAAAATTTTTGGAATTTAAAAATCTTTATGCACATTTAATCCCCACATTCTAGATTGTTTTAATAGGCCTATGTTAGTCCAGGCCTAGTACAATTCGGAGACGGACTAAATAAATGAAAAGTCAAACCGTCAAAAGACAAGTGAGTTTTTGCCCATGTAATAAATAAAACTCGGGAAAAACTCCAACCCAGTTCCCCACCCCCTCCCTCCCACTCAGTTTTCGGGAAGAACCCCCACCCAGTTATTAGATAAAAGAGCTTTGCTCTAATTTATCCTCATTAAATAAAAATCAATACCAATTCAGAGTAAGCGTCACATCTTGGTTCAAAGATGTTTCCATTGCCATAAAAGCGAGTCCTTTGGAAGCGCACAACGTCGGCATTCTAAAAGAAAAGGGAAAATTAAATGTAATTAAAACCCCTATTTAAAAACTGACGTAGATGGGAATCCGATGATTTCCAATTATTTTATCAAATAATGACATTTTTAATTTAAAAAATTTCAGAAAAACCTAAAAAAAAGGGGAATTTAAAAATAATTAAAAAAAATCAGAAAAAGATGCAAAAATGATTTACTAATTGTAAGAAAAAAATTTTTCTTGAAACAAAAGGCAAATAAATTAAACGCGCCAATTCCGCGAAAAAATCAAAATGGTAAAATGACAAAAGAGCCCATTTGAGTCTGAAAGGCAACTCAGTAATCTTAACGGTAATTTTCGATTTTTTAGAACAGAAATCCCATCATTTATTTTTAAACTAGTATTTTTACAAGGATTTAATGTCAGTCAGTTTTTACTTAGAGTTTGTCTTTCCAATTTTAAAAAAGATACCCAATAGTCCCAGTAATCGAATTCATCCGGCTCCGAAACAAAATACTCTTCAGTCCCATCCTCAGGCTTATCAAAGAATTGATCACCTCTTATAACACAAATTTGATTTGTATTCTAAAAACATAGGGGGAATTAATTAAGAGGGTTGATAGGTTCAAAAATTTCCAAAAATTTTTAAAAATCTAACCGATTCTTCGTCAAGTCCATCTTTAGGATGTTGAAATAAAAAAATATTTAAAAGTTCAAATTTTAACATTAAGACGTTCCAAAAATTGTTGTTTAAGAGGCTTCTGCCAATTTTGACTCTAAAAATACAAAAGAGATCAAAGACTGTATAAACAGGGATTTCAACAATTCAAGAAATTTTGTTTAAAATTTTTTTATTTTGGTGGGAAAACACAAATAAAACTGCTTCGCTTTAAAGCATTTTTGTTAGTTTATGTATACGACTAGTCATCGATTTTTCCGTTTGCCTTGTGACGGCAACAGCGGGTCGCCTCTGTTGACGGAGGGGGACGCAGGCGTGTGGCCACAACGGCGCAAACCCATAACTGGCTGGAAAATTTCTGGCCCTTATCAATTTTGGTACCAACTTCTATAGCTCGATGAGAGGAATCGTTTAATACTAAATTTGGTAAGATTCGGACATCTTGAAGCAAGCTATGGCTTTGCGCCGTTATGGCTGCGCGCCTAGCTGTACCTGTTGACAAAGAGACGAAAAATAGCATTGAGAGGCGGGCCATCACATCCAAGATAGGACGACATTTGCGAACTGACATAAAACATCCTTTCTTTTTGGGTCTTTTGATCTTTTTCTACGCCTAAAAATGTATCCGTTGTAATTATTTTTTAAATTATTTTTTAGTTCATTTAAATGAGTGAAGAAGCTACTTTTGTACATCCTGGATCAATTCCAAACCTTATCACAAATAACAGCAAAAATGCAGAAAAACAACCAATTAAAATCCCTTCACAATTTATCCCTCCATCTCAGAGAGCGGATGCTCCACTTGCTGCAATAATACCGCCAGAATTGGATGATATTGATCCCAGGTTTTTTCTTTATTTTTTTTTGACTATTTAATCATATTTTAGTTCATTATTCCCCGATTTCGATCAAAACGGGATTTTGCGTTTCTCACGGCTTTTTGCAAATGCCAAAGCCTCACTTAAAGAACAAATTTGGTGGACTTCTAGAACATTTAAGAAGAAAGGAGAAAAAACGAAATTATCGGCTGAACAAGAAGAAATGGCAGCTATTGCTAATTTGAAGTTGACCAGCGAAATTAAAAATGAAAAATCAACAGAAATCAAGGAAGTCAAAGAGGGGAATGTTGAAGAGAAAAAAGATGAAGAAGAAGAAGTTGTTGAAGAAGAATTGGATAAGAAATCTGGTTGGGACTTTAAATTAGGCGGGCTACCTAAAAAGAAGGATTGCCTAATTGATGAATATGTTTGTTTTTTTTAAATAATTTTTGTAAAAATTTTTTTTAATATTTGCGGACAAAATTTGCGGACTTTTAGAAAATAACCGCGTTTTCCTTTATATTTTTACTAGGAAAGCAGTATTTGGTTGGGGAAATTTTTAAAAATATTTGCGGACAAAATTTGCGGATTTTCACATTTGCGGACTTTTTCCTCTTAATTTCCCTTCAAAAATTTTATTTTCAGGAATTACTTTGTGCAGAAAATTTGGAAGAATTATTAACCAAAAATAAACAATCACAACAAATAAACGAGGAAGATGAAGAATCTGCCCCGCCTTGGAGATTTGGACCTGCTCAAATTTGGTATGACAGGCTGGGTGTTCCATCAAATCCAGCAAATTTTGATTACGGAATGAAGAAAGGAAAGGTGTTTACTCCAATTAGTGAGCCGAAATCTCCAGTTATAGGTTTCTTAATTTTTCAATTTTTTTTTAATTTAATGAATAAAATCTAGGATTGGCCGGATTCAGCGAAAGACTCGGGTCGGGCTCTGGATTAGGTTTCCATTCTAAAGATTTGGGTTCCTGTTCAAAATCCAGGGTGAGAGTAAGCCGACCAATCCTTGTTTAACCATCTCTAGTTAGGGTGCTATTCAAACAAGAATTATTTCATTTTAATTTTTCTTGGTAAAGAGTTACCTAACTTCACGTCCTTTCAACTCTTTAAATTTTACTTGCATACTTTTCTAAAATTCACCTTTTCCCCATTTTAGATGACAAAACTTTTCTTCCTGTTAATTTAATTCATTGGGAAGACGATATAATTATTGATGGAGAACAGGCAAAAGAAAAGGTTTCTTTTAAATAGTATATTTGTTGAATTTAAGCAAAAATTTTTAGTTAATAAAAGAACTGTCTTCTGCACGACTGCCTAGATGTGGTTGGATTCCTACTTCACATACAAGGACTTATAAGGCTTTTATGACTGCATGTAATTTCATTTTTAAAGTTTTTGGGATCTAATGTCATCCTTTTTATATTTTTTTATATTTGCGGATTTTTTCATTTTTGCGGACAACATTTGCGGACTTTTTTTTTAATTTTCGCTATTTTTCAGGGAAAAACAAATCTTTCATTGAATACTTGGAAAACCCTGCAAAAGTAACTTCCCAATCACAATCTGGAACTTCTTCAGATTTAAAATCGGATGCTCGACTACTTATTGACTCGCAACATTCAATTTTTCCTTTTGAAAATTATGAACTGTGCAATTCAAATTGGGAAGATGATATTATTTGGGATAGTTCTAATATGCCTAGCATACCTAGTATAATTTTCATTTTTTAAATTGGATTTTTTTCTGATTTTTTAAGATAGGGACGGGGCGGTTATGATTTTTACGAGATTTTGATAAGGAAAATGTGGATAAACGGGCTAACCGTTATTTGCGATAGTAGTTGATCTTCCGGTTCTTTTACCACTATTTTTCTTTAACCGGATCTCACACTACTGGCATGAGAAAATGGCGAATTTTGTGAAAAAATGGCGACTTTCAGCGATAGCCCTTTTCCTTTTCATTTTTCTTCTTAAAAAATTTTCTTCTTTAGAACCAAAAGTGCTCTCCCTCGACTACGAGGATGACCCAAAAATGTTTGGAATGCCAGAAGATGCTGTACAAGATGAGGGAAGTGATGGATTGGGTTCTAAATCTTATTCAAAGGTTTTTTTAATTTAATTTTTATTCAAAAAAGTTTTTTGTAGGTTGAGGGAGGTGGAATAAAAAAATCCAAATTAATTTTGGCTCAAGTATTTAAACGGCAACGTCAAGAAGAGGAAGAACAAATAGAAACACAAATAGCCCAAATTGCCGATAAAGACCCTTTTAATTTATCAAATGATGATTATTATATGCCAAAAAATACAGCAGAAAAAACTTCACGTTCATTAGCAACAAATAGTGGAATTCAACATTCTTTGCCAGCACAACAAATTCATCCAATTTTTTTCCCATTTTTAACAAGCAATACACGGAATTTTCATAGGCCTAAATTGCCTGGAAGATTTTTACAAAGTCTGGTTAGTAGTAGAAGTGGAGGAGGTGCTCCAATACTCTCTTTGACAAGACATATTAGAATGACTAACCAGGTTTTCTTTAATAATTTTTTTGATTAGGAAAATTTTTTTGCGGACAAAATTTGCGGCCAACGCTGTCCGCAAGTAGAAAAAACCACTAACTTTACGCAGTCCGCAATGCTGACTGCCCTGCTACGGACACATTAGTTCTTTGCGGACACTTTAATTTTTGCGGACAAAATTTGCGGACATTTTCTCCAAAAAATGTTTAAAAAAATTTTTTCTTTAAGAGAAGAGAGCGTCATTTATCTGGTGAAGGTGGAGGATTTGATATTTTCTTAATGCGTGAAGTACACGATTTGAGTGGTAGAGATGGAACTTTGTTGTTAATGGAATATTCAGAACAATTCCCTCCATTACTTAGTCAACCTGGAATGGCTTCAAAAATTCGAAATTATTATAAAAGGGTTTGTTTTCTAATTTTTATAAGGGATCCTGGTTGAAAGGGGGAATCATCAAAGGAATCACTCCTTTTTCCCCCAATTTGTTTTCGTTAGTGGGAACGTTTTGTTACCCTTCCCTGGTTCCCAACTTTATTTAGCACGTCTAACAATGTTATGGGCCTTGGATGTTATTTCTTGTACGAGTCCTGGAAATCATCAAATTTTTTTTACTGGGTGATTTCCATCTTTGTTTCCCTATTAATTTAAAAATCCAATATTTTTTTAAAGAAACCAACAAAAGAACAAGAAACAACAGAATATGAATTTGGAGAAACATCATTTTCCCATACATTCCCATTTTTGGGTAAATTAACAACATCAACAACAACAACAGATCCCTCATTACAAGTATTGGAAAACAACATGTATCGTTCAGCAATATTTAAACACAAAATACCTTTAACTGACTTTTTACTTGTCCGAACACGTTTTGGATTCTTTTTGAGACATTTTCCAAATTTATTTGTTGTTGGACAAGAAATGCCTTTAATTGAAGTTCCAAGTCCAAATTCAAAAAGAGCAAAAGATTTTGGAAAAGATTTTATGATGTCTTGTATTTATCGGTTATTTTGGGAGAATGACAAAAAACCTAGACGTGTTAGAATGGATGAATTGAGAAGAATATTTCCAAATCAAGATGCTATTATAAGAAAAAATTTGAAACCAATTGCTGAATTTAAAAGAGTTGGGGTTGGATTGGAATTTTGGGTATTTTTTTGTTTCTATTTTAAGTGGGTTGAATGTGTTGTCTTGGGTGGCGTTTTCCCATCTTGGTTAGGCTTTCGTTGAATTTTTTCTTTTCTGACTAGCGCTTCCATGTTTCCCTCATCTTCCCGTTTTTTTTGTTCTCACAATCAGATTTTTGCCAATCCATTTTATGGGATAAATATTAACTTAAATACGGAACGGATCGAAAATAGGGCGAGTATCTGATTCGGATCGGGTTTAGAAAATAAAGACAGGTTATCAGATAACCCGGCGCATCTCTAATACTTTTATTGCTGTGACATCAAAATTTTTTAGGTATTGAAAGATGACTTTCGCCTTCCTAGCCGTGAGGAAGTTGCAAGCATGATAACACCAGAAATGTATTGTGCCCAAGCTTCAATGATGGCTGCTGAACAAAGATTAAGGGATGCTGGGTATGGAGAAAAATATTTACATGTAGCTGAGAATGCTGATGATTCTGATGATCAACAAAATATTGGGGAAGAAGAGGTTTCTTTGAATAATTTTTTCTATTTTTTGAAATTTTGTTTTTAAAGATCAAATGTGCCCCGTGGAATACAACAAGAGCTTATATAGCCGTTATGAAGGGAAAAAGTTTTTTGGACCAAACAGGAATTGCAGACCCTACAGGTTGCGGATTAGGCTTTTCTTTCCTGCGAGTTAGTGCAAAACCTCAAAAAGTAGCAAAAGAAGAAGTAGACAAAGAAGCGCCAAAAAAGCTTGTAACTGGAACAAATGCGGATTTAAGAAAGCTCCCATTAAAAGAAGCTAGGCAAATGTGTAGAGAATTTGGACTTTTGGAAGAGGAAATTAGTCAACTTGAGAGATGGTTTGAATTTTTTATTTCTTTTTTTAATTGGGAACTTGGGAAGATGGTTGTCGGATCCTACCGAACCCAAGAATTTAGGATTTTTAATTTATTTCCTCGATCTGTTCCGAATGTCCGGAGATTTTCCAAGAATAGAGAACCTAGGTCAGGGCTGCGCACAATTGGAAAAAAATTCCGCAACTCGCAATCCGCAATTGCGTGCAGCCCTGACCCAGGTGCTTACTTTTTTCGAATAATGTTTTGCGATTTCCCCCAATATTTCTTTTTGTGTTTCATTTCTTTTTCCCTTATTCGATAAGTAAATTCCCTTTTGATTGAATGGAAACTAACCTAAAAAAGAAGGAAAAAGTCCGCAAAGTCGAGGGAAAAGTCCGCAATCAATCTTTAAATTGCCTAATATTTTCTCAATTTTTATTTTTAGGGATGTAATTGATGTAATCCGTACTTTGTCGACACAAGCAGCTCAAGGACAGAAAGATTCACAAGTGTCCAGATTTGCTAGAGGAAATGCTCGTTTAACCTTTGCTGATATGCAAAATAAACATAAAGAACATTGTCAACGCATTTTTGAGAAGCAGAACAAATGGTTGGCAAATACTGAACCAGATATTTGTGATTTGGATTGGGAATCGAGTGGAGATGAACTTTATGGAACACGTAAAAATAGAATATTTATTATTTTGGGATTGATAAAATGGAAAAACCCTTACCCTTATATGAAAGAGGAAAGGTTTCAATTTTATTTGGGGTGAGTTTTTCTTTTGTTCAGTTAGTGGTCCCTCTTTGCTGATTGTTTTGCGGACCACTCCATTAAATAAAATTTAGAAATTTTTTTTATTTTTGAAGAACTTGGTAAACGTTTTGTTGGTGCATATTCAACAACTCAAACATTAAATGATGCTGAACAACGAAAATTAGAATTTGAGCTTGAAGAACGTGAACGGTTAAATTTACAAAAAATGATTCGAGGTGAAGTAACAAAAAGTGGGGCTTCTGTTTCTGATGCAGGTTTTTTTTGGATTTTTTGAAAAAAGAAAATTTTTATTTTTTAAAGCAAAAGAAGCTGTAGCAGATAAACAACAAAATAAACAGGAAAAAAACTCAGAGGATTTACAGGATGTTTTTACTGTTCCAAATCCTCTAAGTCCTGGAGGAGGGACAACATCACTTTTGTCATCTGGTGCTCAAAGAAAATTAAAAATTTATAGAACAATTAAGAATACGGATGGAACTGAATCGGTTTTTTTTAATAATTTATTAGAAGGCTAAAAATTTATTGGGATATTTACGAGATTTTTTTTGGAGAAGGGATCTGTGTTTCGTAATTTCAGAGGGGTTATAGTCTACTAAGTACGACTACGAATTTTGATACGAGCTTCTGGACGGGGCTTTTTTCTAAAGACGAGGGAATAGGAGAGATTTTTGGTGTGCTTTTAATTCTTTTAAAGAAAACTTTTTAGACACGTGTTGAAACTGTAATACATCCACAATTAATTGAAGCTTATGTTCGAATTCGTTCAACAAGGGATGAAAGTTTTATTAAAGTATATGCACAAATGGATGAAAAATATAAGGAGGTTTAGAATATTTTTTAAGAGTTAAAAATATGTAAATATATAGTTTAGTCTTTTATTATAAAATTTTGTTATATTGGATTTTTGCAGGAAAAAAGAAAAGAGAGAAGACGTCAACAAGAAAATGCTAGAAAATCGAAAAAAGGAGATTTACAGCAACAAATACAACAACAAATCCAAAAATCTTTAATTTCTGAAAAAGAGAAAGACATAACAGAAAGAATGAAAATGATGACAGCAGAAATTGGAGGAGGAGGCCCTTCTTCTTTAATATTAGAACAACAACAACAATTAATTTCTACATCACCAAATAAAATTAAAAAAATTGTTGAGAAAAAAGAAAAACCACCACCGCCACCAAAACCTCCAAAAGAATTAAAAATTACTTGTAGTGCTTGTGGAGGTATTGGACATATGAAAACTAATAGAAATTGTCCTTTATATGGAAAAGAGGAAGAATTGGCTTCAAAAACTGTTGGGGAAATTTGTCAGGTTTTTTAAATAATTTTTTGAATTTTGAAGATTTTGTGAATATTTGGTTCGGGTTATAGTCTTGTTATAAAAATCCTGGGAACCTCAGTCAAATAATATTTAGAAAACCACAAAGAAATATGACCCAGTTTTACCTCTCCAATTTTTCCTTTCATTTATTTGCTGGGGTTTCCTCCACCCAGTTTTTAATTGTAAGGCTGCCTCTTTTATTGGGTTCCCCGTTTTGTTGGGTTTGGTCTAGAAGTCGAGTTAAATATTAAAAAAAATTTTTTTATTTTTTAGCCTCCAGTTTCTCGTATAAGCGATATTCTAGATGAGGAAGGTTGTAGTCTTCCATCTGGGGAATTAATTGAAGTTGATGGAACGCGATTAAAAATATCCAAAAAATTGTATAAACATGCAGAAAAGGAAAGAAAAAATGCTTTGAGGTTTTTTTGAAATTTTTTGAAATTTTTTAAAAATTATTTTTAAAAGACTTCACATTCCTCGTAAAATATTGGAAAGTGGAGGAGGGGGAATTGTTTCTAAAAAATCTGGAAAGAAAGCTGCAAGACTTTCATCTTCATCATCACTTACTAGAGCTATCCCTCCAGGAATTTCCAAACAAGAATTATTGGCTTCGATTCCATCAACTTCGAATTTTGTTCCTTTAAATGAAGATATTCAATTAGGTTTGTGATAGCAAAGGTTTTTTGATTTAGATTTTCCTATATTTTTTTCAAATTTCTGATTATTTTTAAAAGTCTAGAGAGTCTAGAACCAGACAAATTTTCCCAAGTTTATAGCTGGAATGGGATTTATTCTGCTCTTCGTCTCTTTAAAATGACAGGGCCCATCTCTTGGGGAAGAATGACTTGTGGACAAATAATTTTTTGCGGACTTTAGGGGAGAATTTAACCATTGAGAATAAGTTCCCAAAAAATTGCCTTTGCTAGTCATTTTTTTTGCAAAATCTAGAATTTTTAAATGAGGTTTATTATGTATCCATTTAAATTAATTTTTTCTCCTTTTTAAAGTTTCTTCTTCTCGTAAACCTCATCCACTTACAATCAACGTCCCTACAATTCCTCCAAATTCTTCTGCAGTAACTTCAATTGGCCCTCTTTCTGCAATTTCTTCAGCTTCTTCAACTGGTGGGGGAGGCCCCTTTTCAACAGGAAAAAGAAGAGGAACATTAGATGATGCCGATTATTTGGTTGGGCCACAAAAATCTGTTCAAAGAAGAAGGGCTGATCCGCGTGTTTCTATGGCTAGTTTATTAATGGAAATATTGAATGAATTGAAAGGATTTGAAGGGTCTGAACATTTTGCTATCCCTGTAAATATTAAAAAGGTTTCGTTTTTTTTGTTTTCTTTTGGAAATTAAAAAAGTTTTTCAAAAAATTGCAAATGCTAGGCGTCTGTAGTTAAGTGGTTTAGTGTTTGGATTTGACCAATAGGGGTTAAGGGTTCGATGCCTGTTGGTAGTCATTCTTTATAATTTACTTGTTTTTTAAGTTTTTTGGTCATTAAAAAACTTGAAATTTGTTAAATAATTTTTTAAAATTTTTTTCTACAGGTCCCAGATTATTTATCAATAATTTCAAAACCTATGGATTTGCAACAAATTCGAAAAAATGTGGCTAATAATAAATATGAGCTTAGGCAACAATTTTTGAGCGGTATTTTTTCAATATTTTTAAAAATTAATTTTATTAATTTAGATTTAACACAAATTATAATCAATTCAAGTACTTATAATGGCCCAACTCATCCAATTACTGAAGCGGCTAGAAAGGTTAAAAATGTTTAAAAATTAATTTGAAGGGAATTATAAAAAAATTGATAGTGAGAGTCGGTGGTGAAGTCGTTAACGTTACTGATTTTGACTGGAGTGAGTCTAAGGTTCGATTCCTTTTGTGCCCATTCGTTTTGTGTTGCTTGTTTTTTGAGTTTTTTGACCATTAAAAATTTCAAAAAAAATTTTAAAAATTAAAAAAAATTTTTATTATTAAGATGGTTCAATACGCAACCAAAAAATTAGAAGAAAATGATTCACGACTTATCGAATTAGAAAAACAAATAAATCCATTACTTGATGATGATGATATTGTTGGATTTTCTTATATTTTACTTCAAATAGTTCAAGAATGTAAAAATTTGCCAAAATCTGTTGCTTTTCATTCTCGTGTAGATTCTAAAAAGGTTTTTTTTATTTTAATATTTTCTTTTGAAATTTACAATTTTTTTAAAGTTTCCATTTTATAATGATAAAATTCAACGTCCAATGGATTTGGGAAAAATTGTAAGAATTTTTGAGAAGTTTTTTTAATTTAAAATTTTTTATTTTAAGGAACAAAATGCAAAAGAGCATCGTTACACAACTATTGAAGGTTTTAGAAAAGATTTTGAACAGGTTTTTTTTAATTTTTTAAGAATTTTTGGAGATGGGGGGGGGGGGGATAAATAAGTTCGGAAAATAAAAGAAAAGTGTTGCTAAATTAGTAAGTCTTTAGAAAAAAAATTTTTTGACCTCATAAAAACACGAAAAATAGTCTAAATAAATTTAAAAAAATTATTAAAAAATTTTTTAAAGATTGTAGAAAATAGCCGCCTTTTTAACGGTCCACAATCTGTTTTTACCCTTAAAGCTGAAGAAATATTGGCTACGTGTAATCAACTTTTGGAAAAATCTGGAGAACCTTTGGCTGAATTAGAATTTAATATACAAAAAGTTTTGAAATTTAGAGGTTTCTTAAATTTTTAATTTTGAAAAATTTTTTGAAAATTCATTTAAAGTCCTTCCAATATTAACTGAAGAAGATAGTAATTCATCACAAAATTGGCAAACAATAAATAAAACAAAAGAAGATGTTCCTCAATTAAATAGAATAGAAGAAGAAGAAATTTCCAACCAAATATCCCAACCAAAATTTTATGTTGGTGATGATGAAGAGGAGGGAGAGAGGGAAGAAGTAATAAAAGAAGAAATTAATAAAAATGAAGATGAAATTGTAAATTTGGATTTGAGTGATTCTGAGGATGATGAAGAAATTTCAGAAAAGAAAATTCGGTTAGAATAAAGTTTTATTTATTTTTTTTGTGTGATATATTTTTTTAAATTATTCTTTAAATAAAAAAATGAATGAATATCAAAAGTAAACTGGAAAATTTATGAAAAAATGCAAATATTATAATTAGGGTTGTTGGCGGTCGGTTAACCGAAACCGAAAACCGAGGGTACCGGTTTTTAACCGGTCGCTAACAATCCTAATTAAAATTATAAAAATTAATTTACCGATGGGGAGTTGAACCCAAGAGACCGCCGGCCAAAGCCTAAACGACTACCAACTACACCACAAAGCTCTAGTTTTGAGTGTTAAATTAATTTATAGGGACAGCCAAAATATGCACGGAAAATTGCCAAATATACGCATATATATGCACCGAAAAAGCCCAAAATATGCATCAAAATATGCAAAATTTGCCAAAATATGCAGTGAAATATGCACCAAAAAATAGTTAAAATATGCTTTAAAAATCAATATTTTAATTTAAAAACACTAATTTAGCCTTTAATTTTACATTTTATGAACACTTCTAAAGGATTTAATATATTTAAAATTTCTGCAAAAATTTTGGGGAAAAAAATTTTCCCCAAAAAATTTTCGAAAATATTTTTTCAAAAAATTTTTATAAAAAAATTTTTTTGACCAAAAAATTTCAAAATTTTTGTCAATTTTTGGCAAAATTTTACAAAAAATGCCTAAATATGGACCAAAATATGCAAATTTTGCCAAAATATGCACAAATATGCAAATATGCACGAAATGGTCGAAATATGCAAATATATGCATTAAGAACCGGGTCCTAAAGTGCCCGTACTTATGTAAAAACACCATTTTTGGGCTTCCCACTTCAAGGCATATCCGCATACAAAACATGCATTTGCATGTTTTGGCTGTCCCTATTAATTTATATAAGTATTTTTTCTTTTTTCTATAAAATGTTTTATTTGTTCATTGAACTTATTTTAAGTGCCATTTAGTGTCTTTTTTCAAACAAAAAAAAATTTTTTATTTGGATGGAGTAAATATTTATTTTTAAAGTCAATTTTATTCAAATAATTGGCCAAAATCATCCTTGCAATTGGCTAGAATGTTTTTCTATTTTTATAAAACTGATACAGTCTAGCCCTATTTTAGATAGGACCATCCTTTTTATTTTTAAAGAGGGGAATCCCATTTATTTAAAGAATAAGTTTATTTTTAAACTAAAAAATCGGTGCAATTTTTGTGTTTATTTTTGAGTCAATTTTAATTTTTTTTTTTGATTTTTTAAAAATTAATTTTTTCCTAAAATGAACGGCAAAAATGTAAAATACAACAGTTCGAGTAATCCCGATTTGCGAACCTCTTATGCCGAATTTATGCATTTTTGGAACTCGAAAAACAACAAAAAAGAGGGTAAGAGAGAAGATTTATTTTTATTTTCTTAAAAAATATTTGGGGGTTTTAAAGTGTTTTTTTGGTTGTTTGTTGTACTTCCCCATTCATATTTTTTGAATGCGCGAATACAAAGAAAGAAGAAAAGGGTCTCTTCTTTCCGCTATAATCAATCATTTATCCTTCCCAATAATCCGTCTCCATCGTTGAAAGACGAAAAAACGCGCCACTAATAATATTCGTCAGATCACACACACAACACTCTCTGGTCTTTTTCGTCATTTTAATTTGTTTATATTTAAAGTTTTTCAATGTTTAAATAGTCTACCAAAACATTGTTGTTTCTAAAAGAAACAATAGGAAAAACATCAAAACAATTTAATAAACTTGAAAAAAAACACAAATATTTTCATGTTTTTAATGTTTTTGTGTTTGTAGATGTTTAGATTAATTCTGATTTTAGTAATGTTTTATAGAATGTTTTGGAATGTTTTATAGAGAATGTTTTGGAATGTTTTAAACTTTTTTTGTTTAAAAAAATGTTGTTTTAAAATTCTGATTTTAATATCTTGTGTTTTTGTATTGTGTTTTGTTTTTAATAAATTCTGGTTTGTTTTTAACATGTTGTTGATATGTTTTTAACAAGTTTTAAATTAATTCTGATTTTAATATGTTTTTAGCTATGTTTTTAATGAATTCTGATTTTGTTTTAAACAAGTTTCTAGCTTGTTTTAAACATGTTGTTTTAAAATTCTGATTTTAATATGTTTTTAGCTATGTTTTTAATGAATTCTGATTTTGTTTTAAACAAGTTTCTAGCTTGTTTTAAACATGTTGTTTTAAAATTCTGATTTTAATATCTTGTGTTTTTGTATTGTGTTTTATGTTTTTATTAAGTTCTGGTTTGTTATAAACATGTTGTTTTAAAATTCTGATTTTGTGTTAATTAATATGTTTTTATTTCAATGTTTTTTGTAAATGTTTTATGTTTTTAATAAATTCTGATTTTGTTTAATTTGTAGTTCCAACATTCCAACCTTCCCTTTTGTACGCTTATCTAATGGATTGATCATTAAATGATCGATGTTTTATTTTTCCCTTCCTTTTTTAAATTTTAATAAATTTAAAATAAATAAAACGCCCATTTAAAAAATTTTTAAAATAAAAAAATTAAAAATAATAAATCATTATTGCATTCCACCACAATTTACTAAAAACAAAATTTCTCTCCTTTTTCACTTTTAAAGTACTCTGGCGTCCAAACAAATTTGTAAAATCAATGTTTTTCTGCCGTTCCAACAGCGATAAACAACAACAACAAAACACTAAAAATCAGAAAAGAATAGGAAAACAACAACAACCAACAAAAACATCTTTGCTTTCCCAACAAAAAGCTTCAACAAATTCTTTAAATATTTATTCTAATAGTACACCCCAACGTTATAGTTTAGTTGGACCTCTAGTTTCTTTAAGGCATCAGGTATATAAAAATTTTAAAATATAAAAAAATATTTTTTAGACAAATTTTGTTCGTTCCCCCTTCGTCCCACTACCTTTTGAACATTCTGTATCCCGCAAAAACTTTTCGTTGAGAGATGATGATCTATTACCGTCGTGTTGGTTTCTATCAGATTCAGAGGTATTTTTAAACAAAACACAAGTTTTCCGTTATTCTGATTAATTAATTCTGATTCCGGAAAGTTTATTAATATTTATCTTTTCCGGAAGTCTATTAATATTTCCGGAAAGTTTGTATTTTTGTATTCTGATTTTTGTCTAGTTGTTCTAAAATTCTGAAAATTTAATTCTGATTTTTATTTAATTCTGATTTTTATTTAATTCTGAAGCAAGTTTTTTTTAATTTATTTTAAAACAGATTAATGATTTAACTCAACGTGCGCATTACAAACTTCAGAGGCGTATCAGCAGAAGACGAAGTTTAACTAGAGCAAACTTTCCTTTTGGAGAGACAAATCCCCGTAGGGCTAAAGTTATCGAAAAATGTAATGATTTAGAGTATTTTTTATTTTTTTCCGAATAAATTTTTTAGATGACCGCCTCAGAATTGGAATTCGTCGGGCCCTCTCTGACCACCAAATTTTATTTATGGATCTAAAGGATGTTGAGTGTGATGGTATTTTCAATTCCAGACGTACTAATAATCATAAACGTGTTTCATTTTCTTCTCCTTCTTCTTCAAATCAAAAAGAAGAATTAAACTGGAATTTAAATAAAAAAGAACAAAAACAACAAAAATCAGTAAAACCAATTCTGACACGTAGAAATAGTTGTAGATCAAATAGAAATAATAATGCTAGTACTTCTTTTCGAAATAGAGTTGGAACAAGTTTGAGTGTTGGGGGATGTCATGATGATGAAAATGATTATTATTCTGTTATTAGAATGGACTATGCTATGGTAATTAAAATAATAATTCCGGAAAGTTTATTATTTTTTTCCGGAAAGTCTATTAATATTTCCGGAACTATTACAAAGTTTTCCGGAAAATATACTTTTTAATAAATTTTCCGGAAATATTAATAGGCTTTCCGGAAAATTTATTAATATTTCCGGAAAGTCTATTAATATTTCCTGAAGGTCCATTAATATTTCCGGAATGTCTATTAATATTTCCTGAAGGTCCATTAATATTTCCGGAATGTCTATTAATATTTCCTGAAGGTCCATTAATATTTCCGGAAACTCTATTGATATTTCCGGAATATTTATTAATTTTTTCCGGAAAGTTTGTATTCTTAAGATTATTAATTTACGGAAAATCTTGTATTTTTAAGCTTATTAATTTGTTTCCGAAAATTCTGATTTATATTTAGTCTATTAATTTTTCGGAAAGTTTATTATATTTTCCGGAAGGTAAGCATTCATTTTGCTTTATTATTCAAGTTTTTTTAATTTATAGTTTCGCGCCTGGCGTCGTGGTAGTCGTCTTTCTGTAGATGTGTTAAACCGTGCGGCGATTTGTTCGGCAAGCTTTGATGGAGTAATGGGAAGAAACTCTCAAACTGAACAAAGATTACCTTTAACTGGTTGGGCATTGGTACTTAAAAGAGTGCTCGCTGATTGGATTAAACGCCGTAAACGTACAAATAATGAGTCTATTGTGATAGGGGTTGAGGAGGAAGTTGAGAAAGAAATAAATGAAGAAGAAAATAATTCATCCACAAAAATGACCATTTGAATGAAAAAAGGACTTTATATTTACTTGACATGTCCTTTTTTGAGGGATGTAAATACTACATTGCTATCTTAATTAATTAATTTATTGCTATTGAAATAAACACGTTGTAAATAAATATTTATTAGCAGAAGATTAAATATAAATTCTGATTTTATCAGTAAATTAATAAACTTTTCCGGAAAATTTATAACATTTCCGGAAAGTCTTTTATTTCCGGAAAATTTATTATGTATAATACTACTGGAAAATATAATTATTTTTCCGGAAAGTTTACTAATACTTCCGGAAAATTTATTATAATATTTTCTTCCGGAAAGTTTGTATTCTTAAGTTTATTAGTTTCCGGAAAATCTTAATTTCTAAGTATATTAATTTGTTTCCGGAAAGTTTATCTTCTTCTCAATTTAAAAGAGAACTGTAAATTCTGATTTTTATTTCC